GGATGTTTTAACAGTTTGCAGTGGTCCAAAGTTACTCCTCATCTACCTTATGCATTCCGAACACCTTAATGAGTTTATAAACACTTTTCACAACTCTCAGAGACGAAAGCAGAGATTTATCATCACGGTAAAGCTAAGAGCAACTAGCATGCTAACCACACACTTCCACACATTAGATCCAAACAGTGCAGCTGACATATTTTGACCTCAAGATCTTCTTATACTATCTGGATTGGGGCAAGGCGTATTTAGAGAAAATATTAGGTACAGGATCTTTTAAGTCTAAATCAGGACACACTAGTTTAATGTTTGATTTGTTTTGATTTGATTTTTGTTTATAATGTAGTTTTACAGTCCAAAATTGAGCCATGGCCATTAGGGAGTGCGCGGTTTACTTATAATTAAATTACGAGATGGCCTTTTCATTATGCAGTTACATGAACGTTTGACCCAGTTTAGAACAAGCAATCGTTTTTCCATAATTAAAGACATGTTCTAATCAGATATTGTTTCTCCTGATATGGTAATGTTGATATATTCACCATTTATGCACAGTTAAACAGAATGAGCTCCTCACGTTGGGCTGCCATACCTCATGACTGAAACTCGTGTATGTGTCCTCAGTATCCAAGAGTTTCAGAGTGGTTCAAAATGTGCACCGAGGGCATAGCAATTAACAACAAAATAAAAGCTAAATGTTCTCTTATAAATGCCAAAAAGTTCACATAATAGCAACATATAAACAGGAAGTTGAAGTTCAAGAATAACAGTTACGAGTCTATTTTCTGATCTATGTTATAATGTTTTTTCCTCATCACAGATCACCTCGAGTTGTGTTTTATTTCATTCACACAAGTTTAACACACAAATCTTGCATGTTTAGGCTGAGTTCTTCTCTCAAACTGAAAAAAAACACACCTTGTGATGTCATGTGAAAATACAGGAAGTCCTCCATTGTGTTTTTAAACTCCAAAACACTTTCACTGGAATCATTCGGATGATTTCCAATATTTCTACTGAACTAAATGTTAGCCTAATTGATTTCTTAGCCGGTTTCACTTCGTAGAAACCATCTGAGCATTACGATTCCTTCGCTCGACAGTAGACGGTCCTTTTTTTTATTTAACCAATTGCTGCTATTTGGTCATGACCGATGTAATGCGCCAAATCCCATAGGAAGAAGGGCAATAGCGTCTTTCCCCTTGATAAAATTCACCAAACATTCTCTTTGGTCCCTCTTTAAATCCTTGATCTTGGGAATTGTTGTCAACACAGAATGTCTGTCTTCATCTACATCCATCTCGACCTCTTTGTTTACTGTTGTGTTGTACCACAAAAGGGACCCAGACAAGTGCTTGAGTTTGACGTCATGGCTTCACAGCTCTTCACTGATTGGCCGGTGAGCGGTCTACAACTTCTGGGGTTCTTGCAAACCATCTAGTGTATTCTGATTCCTGACCTAGTCGTTGGAGAGACATTAAATTGAGCAGAGGCACTAGATGTCGCCAGCCTGACTAGTAAAATGTAGCTGTTGACTTGAAAACCACCGCTTCATGACATTACAAGGTGGAACAGAGCATTTTGAACTTTGGAGATGTAAACAGACTAAAACCAAAGAGTTACTTAAACATGTGTGAATGAAACAAAACACAACTCAGGTATATTTTTGAGGACATAACATTATAACATGACTAAAAGCTCAAAAGAGTCACTTTTGTGTAATTTAAGACTTATAAATCAAAGTGTTTGGAAGTCCAACCTCACAAGAAGTTTTGACACAAGAGTACACTGTAGTAAAAGTGTCTGACTTATGTGCACTTTGAACATAAAAACCCAGCCATAATCGTCCCATTTTACAGGTAATAAAGTTGTTTATACTGAACATTTTCCCTGCACCATAAAACACAGCAGTTTAAGACATAAGCCATTAGGTGAAGTCGGCTATGAAACGAAAGGGTTTGGGGTTTTTACATGTTCTGTTTGAGTGCATTTGAAGAGCGCAGGAGTCCAACTGCAACCATAGACGAGAAGACACTGGACATAGAGAGGAGAATCTGCATTTTATGAACATCACAGCACACTACGACCTATAGCTGAATGGTATTATAATTGCGATGCTGGTATGACAGTTGAAGTGTATAATTGGATACATATTGTCAATAATACAGTTAGTCTCTTCTTCTTCTTTTTTCTGTTTTTGTTATTTTCTTAAAGGACATACTGTGCAGTTTTTTAGAGCTTTTAACCATGTTTCCCTTTCTTATTTATCCTCTCAAAGTTGTATTTAGAGTGATTCATGCATGTTTGAATCATCTTTATTCTCCTGCATTCAAGACATCATTCCTCTGATCTACAAAATACAACATAATGATCCATGGGTGCCACAGATTACAACTATAGCAGAAAAAACACAATGCAGTATGTCTTAATTAAAGAAAAAAACTAATCCACTCTCCGGAAATCTCTCCCCCTTCACATCAGAAACTCAGACTCACGAAACATCTTCAAAAAAAACTGTTCAAAACACACTTTTTCCCCAGAGCCTGCAGTCTGTCCTGTTCTTGTTTTAGTGCTAATTTATTGTGAAGCTTCTTTGTGTTACTGTGAAAAGACCAATGTGTTATTATTGTTATTATTTTTATTATTTATTTATTTATTTATTTTATTCATAGCATTTTGAAGGCTGTTTTGTGTAAGTTTGGGTACATTGTAATTCAGTTACAATCAGTGGTGCAGTAGGGATTTTTTTAAGTGAGGGTACGCAATTCGTGACTGAACCAGTAGGACTAAACCCGGACTAAACCAGGACTGAACCAAGTCTAAACCAGGACTGCACCAGGTCTAAATCAGGACTAAACCAGGAATAATCTTGAAGAGAGACCAGGAGAGAGAGAACCCTGAGCCCATGGAGCACGGTGTCCACAAATTGCGATTGGGCAACCCAGGGTGCAGTCCTTTCGCTTGCAGTCACCTGACGGTCTACACGAGTACTTCCGGACCTGTCCCGACACTCAGTTCTGGTTTAGTTCTAGTTTTGTCCTGGTTTAGACCTGGTTTAGACCTGGTTTAGTCTTATTTTAGTCCTGTTTTAGTTCTGTTTTAGTTCTGTTTTAGTCCTGTTTTAGTCCTAATTTAGTCCCAGTTAAGTCCTGTTTTAGTCCTGGTTTAGTCCTGTTTTAGTCCTGGTTTAGTCCTGGTTTAGTCCTGGTTTAGTCCTGTTTTAGTCCTGGTTCAGTCCTGGTTTAGTCCTGGTTTAGTCCTGTTTTAGTCCTGGTTCAGTCCTGGTCCCTCATGTCTCAGGTCTCCATAAGACAGTACTGCAGATATCATGAGCCTATGCAGGTTGTTTTCACCATTGCCAATAGCTCCTGTTTGACATTTAAGTTTTAGGCTATTTTATTTTTTTATATCTCATGTCGGGAGTAGTGGGTGGACGGTGACCCCTGGTTAAAATAAAAAACACAATTCGATCGTGTTACATTACAGTGATATTACATATTTACTATCTCTTGCTATGTTATTGACGCCAGGGGTGTGCAAATATATCGAAATATCATGATACTAAATTTGGTGATACAGTACTGATATCACGGGCTGCTATGAGTATTTCTTGGTATTTTTTAGCATTTCTTTTGCATTTAATGGAAGTAAACTTGACGTATTCACTGTTCTAATGATTAAAATAGATGCATTTCATATTCACTTTGCACATGTAGTGGTTTAACAAAGAAATACTGTTGCAGAAATGTATTTGGTTCTTGAAAAAATATCACAGAGTATCACATGTAATGTATCGATTATCGCACATATCACTATATCGTGTTAATATTGTATCGTGAGCAATGCTTCACGTATCGTATCGAATTGTGACGAACCCTGTGATTCCCAGCTCTATCTGATACTACAGTTTCTCCATTAATGATTTACTAAACTATACCCAACAAATGTTCATAGAGTGGATAGAATGTTAGAATGTTCCTCATCACAAACATACCTGGAGTTGTAGTTTGTTTCATTCACACATATTTAACACACAAATCCTGCATGATTAGGCTGAGTTCCACTTTCAGACTGAAAAAACTCCAACAGTACCCACTTTTGGATGTAATCTACAATCACCTTGTTTTGCATTTCCTTCACAGTGGGAGATACGGCTTTGAAATCTCACTTCTGATTGGTCTGATTATCTTAAAGGGAAAAGACAGAAAGGAAATGAAGTGGAAACGCGATCATCCCCGTAGAATAACAGTGTAGTCCAGAGGTCACGACCCCGGAGCAGGTTTATTTATAAAAACCACCAAACAGGATGATTAGCCCATGTGTACCGGGTTAGCTGTGTTTTGGCATTCATGGTTTTGGCAGATCGGGTTAAGTTCAGCTGTTCAAACATGCCCTGCTCACTCTGACCTCAGCCAACAATAACAGTGATAGGAATACTAGTTGGTGAATCCACAGATGTGTATTTAGTTTAGGTATTTTGTATTGAAAAATGTAAAGGTCCTATATTTCACAAAATTGATCAATGTAAGCTTTTAATATCTCATCAAAAACATACTGGAGTAGTGTTTTGTTTCATTACACATGTTTGAGTAACCCTTTTTTCTTAGTCTGTCTACATCTCCAGAGCTCAGAATAGCCTGTTCCACTTTGTGATGTCATGTAGTGGTAGTTTTCAAGTTAACAGCTACCTTTTACCTTTAGCTTTTGGAGAGATTGGAAATTCCAGGGTTGAAATAATCAAAAAAAAAAAGTGAAGGCATATGGAGTTTAAAATCACAGTGGAGCACTTCCTGTATTACCACATGACATCACAGAGTGGAACAGAGTGTTTTCTGTTTGAGGAGTCTTAATATGCAGGATTTGTGTGAATGAAACAAAACACAACACCAGGAAACAACATTATAACATAGATCAGAAAATAGCGTAATACGTGCAGGCGCTTTAAATAAAAATGTAAATGTAATGTGTTTTGATTCTATTTTTTGTTTCTGTTTTTACAGATGAAGTAAAATGCCAGGATGACTCCACAGATGCTCCTTCTACAGCTTCAGGTTGGTCAAAGTTTCTGCTTGGTAACTAATCTTCTTATATAGACTCTCAAACATGGTAAAAAAAAATAAGTAAATAATTAAATATATATATATATAACTTGAATAGATGAAAGCAACTGCATTATCAGGTGAAAAATGGAAATCCTTCAGCTCTTTCATAAAGTAATGTATAACTTTTCTGCCCTGCTTGTCTCCATAGAGATGATGTTATAGTACATGAGGCATTAAACATATCTATATATCACATTTATTCATTCACAGGAGCTTCATTGCTTAAAAAAAAGCCTTGAAAAGCATTGAGCAAGCTTGTCTCTCCACTGATCTGACCTAGATCTGATAGATAGATGATAGATAGACAGACAGACAGACAGACATAGATACATTGATAAATTGATAGATGGATGATAGATACATACTGTAAATACATAGATTAATAGAAAAGTTACACAGTACACTTTTAATTTGAGTGTTGACTTATTCACCATTTATTCACAATTAAACAGTATGTATGCATCCTCAATATCTATAGCTAGATAGATAGATAAATTAATATGCATGCTTTACAAATTTAGATTTAAACTAAAATAAAACATGACTCACATCTCATATTCACACATGTACCTGCATATAGATATTATCTTTGTCTAGTCGCCCAATCCAGTCGATTCAATTTGATTTATAAAAAAGACATTTTCCAAAATGGTGCACAACAATGTAAAAAAAAACACACACACAAAAAAAAAACTAAATTAAATTAAATTAAATCTAAAAGCAATCAAAAATCTCTTCTCTGTGTGTCTCAGTTCCAGCAGGTGATGCGGGGGATGCCACTGGCCAGACCCCTGCCCCAGATGCTTCAGACTCCACTGGGGCAGACAGCGCTGTGACTCAGGCCCCTGGAGACCTCTCTGTAATCACTGTAAACACTGTAGCTGCAGAGGTCTCTGCAGTGGAGGCCGTTCCTATCATGGTGAATATAACCCCACTTAACCTGACACTAAGTAATAACTGCATGATTCTATATGAGGGTTGCCAAAAGTATTGAAAATCAAATACTAATTGATACTAAAACTACTACTGAAACCACAGACTGTGTATAAATGGACATAGCTAACCCACTAGCCACCACGTTCCAAGAAGGAAGTGAGCATGGATTCAGCTCCATCGACGCATTTCCAATTGACTTTACTTCGAAAAATTGAAACCCTCTCTCTATAACGTCTACTGTGAGACTCATCATTTTGGTCTTCAAATGTTCATATCAACCTGCTCCACATGAGCCTGGGGTTTTTATTTTGCTATTTTGTGCTTAAATACATTCCTTTTGCTCCAAATTCACTCCTATAACTGCTAGTCCCTTGAGCTTCATTTGGCGGGAGCCGAACGCTATGGGTGGCGTCACACTCACTTAGTCCACTTCTTTATACGATCTGTGGTTGAAACAAGATACTCATTTGAGAAGGTATCGATACACTAAAGTCACATTCACAGGACAGAAATGAACTTTTCCTGATAAACTTTTTTGCTAATAAATTGTATATGGTGTTAGCTTTGTCTACTGTTCCTAGACTTCTTCTTTTTTTGGCAGTTTTTGGTGCAAACTATGCAAATTTGCAGCTTTGTGTTCTCATTGTGTGCTGCCTCTTGTGGCCACTGCAGTTTCAAGCACTAGGTGACATCACATGGATACCTGTTAGACCAATCAGAATGTTCTATATACCTCCAGACCCCGCTCCTTCCTCCCCCTCACTCTCCCGTTTACTCCTGCAGGTAGTGCCCAGTTTATCCAATATCGTCAGTCTTTGGAACATAAATGGGCGTTTCTTCCCTAAACAGCAACGCTTCCCATTTTGTTTTTTTCCTTCCACGAGGAACTGTCAACATCCCGTCTAACAAATATGTCAAAGTAAGAGTTGTACATTGACGTTAGCATTGAACCCATAGACATGTATAGATGTATATATGTCTATGATTGAACTGAATAGGAAAAGCAGGAACTTCAAGTTCTTTCCACTGGATGTCACGTAGTAAAATGTTGGGTTGTGCAGTGCATTGTTTTACTTCTCAAAATATTTTATGTCCCCTTCCAAAAAAAAACCCAAAAACTGTATTGTACTACCTACTTCCTTTAGTATTTTCAGCACAATAGTAGGTCGACTGCTATAAGTGCAATCATTTGGATACGAAAAAACTGCATTCATGATAAATACTGGTGTTTACGCTGTACTTGCGTTATGTCCGTAAGTCTCATTTATTTGTACAGTTTGTGCAGTTTCAGTGTCATGTTAAAAGTACATGATGTTAGAATGTGATCAGATCCTCTCTAGATACTGTGACAATGAAAGAACCAAGTTAATAAGTTCCACTCATCATCACATGGCATGACCTTTGACATTAGCTATTGATGAGCCACATAGCTGTAGTTCTACAGCTAGCCAGGGGTTTATATAGCAGACACTTTTATCCAAAGCGTTTCCCAAAAGCAGTGTTGCTAACCTGTTATAGTAACTTAGTTGTCTGTATCAATAGCTAATGTCAAGGCTCATGCCATGCTATTGTTAACTAACTTGTTAACTTGGTTGCTGTCACCGTACATACTGGAGAGGGTCTGATCACATTCTAACATCATTCTGGAATTGCTCAAACTGTACAAATAAATGGTACTTACAGACATGAAACACATGTATTGACGCTTTGCTTCGACCATAGACAGTAAAGACTTTTGCCACAAAGAAGCGAAAAAGCAGAAGAGTGCAAACCTCTTTCTGATTGGTTGATTGCAAGCTACGGGAATGCCCATTAGGGAGCAGGTCTGGAACGCCCACGCTGCAGATCCACCCTCCTCACTTTATCAGCTCTATTTGAAATGCGATTGCGGGCAGAGTTTAGGTGTTTAGTCTCACTTTAAAGTATATGTTGTGTTTTTGTTTCCACAGCCCGAAGTGAAGTGTGTGGGAAAAGAGGAAATCACGGAGAGTAACGCCGTCAAGGCCAGTGTGGCGACTAATGACTGTGTAAGTGTCATTTTACATTGAAGGGCCTATTCATTCAGTGTTATGTTTTTGATATAATACTCTGTGATGAGAATGCAAATCAAACATTATAATGGATTTCATTATTAGGCCATACATGCAATATTTCACATTTTAAAACATTTATTGTATGTTAAAAATGGGGAAAATGTAGTACAGTATCTAGGCTTAAACAGATTCAAACATGAACAGCATCATCTGCTGGCAACAGTGGGGAGTGGGAGTGTGAGCTTTTATAATGTTTACTTCATCGAAAACACACCTGGATTCCTTTATAAGCAAAGCCAAAAAGTAATCATCAATCAAATCCACTACACGTTTCAAAATATTTAATATTTTTACTCCTACTTGAGTAATAGTAGGAGTATTGAACAGTGGCGGAGTTAGCCATTTGGGGGCCTTAGGTGAACTTGAGTTTGGGGCCCTCACTATGATGCACCTTTTTTTTTTCTTTTTTTTTTGTATGTATATATTTATTGTGTCTTTTTCCCCATTGTTTTTGAGACACGCACTTCTCTATTTATTTGAATTATAGTGGATTGGAAACTTCCTAGCTTACTAGATAACCAGAAGTGGAAGTAGTTTTACTTTTTTGCTACTACATTTACATTTTCGTTTACATCTATTACATATGATTTTTTTTTTTCTTATGATTATTGCTTAAAAGTAAACTACTCTCATTTAATGTCATATTGAGGGAAAATTTAATTGCTCTGAGGCCTCGGCCATTAGTGGCACTGAGGGTAATTGTCTGGGGGCCCCTCCAGGTTTGGGGGCCCTAGGCAGCTGCCTACTTTTGTCTAATGGTAGCACCGCCTCTGGTATTGAAGTAACAGTACTCTAACTTGTGGAAAAGTTGTTGGAAACTGTACAAGTGACAAAAGCTGTATGTTGACAATATGAAATATTTTTTGTTTCTTTCACCGCTCCTTCAGATATGATGAGTTTGCTTTTTGTGTGTGTGTGTGTGTGTGTGTATTCTATATAAAAATACCAGATTATGTTTGTTACTTAATGTTTATCCTTCAATTTACATTAACTTCAAATTATAAAACTCAACAGTTACTCTTTCGGTTACTCTTACTTGAATAGTAGTTTTCCCAAGTACTTTTTTTACTGTTCAATTCAGTGTAATTTCTTGGAACACTACTAAAGTCGCTACTTTACTCTTACTTGAGTGCAGTTTATGGCGACTCTACCACCTCTGGCCAGTATTGTACGACAACAGCCTCAACAATCATTGCAAAAAGCTGTATACAATCCAAAGTAATATTCTTTTCTGTATCTGATGGAACAGTCTTATCTCTCCTTACACAAAAGCATCAAATAGAATTATAGTCCCCATCCCATAAACATCATCTCTGCTACATTCCTTCATCGTTATAAATTCTCAGATTGCGTCTCCACCTCTGGACAAACGAACGGATGGCTCGTTTTTCGTCTTCCTCAGGCAAAACAAAAGCCTGGGTGTGGTCCTGTAGCAACTGGTGTGCATTACAACTGCCCCAAAACATCTCTAAATCTGCACTATATTACTAACACTAAAAGATACTTAGACTTCTTAACAAAAGGATGGCTGTTCAGTGGAGAAGTCTAGTCAGATCCCTGGAAATTACTGCTTGATTTCGCGCCATTATTGCAGGATTTATAGGCTTGAAAGCATCTGTGAAAGTGATCATCTCAAATCTGGCTTCTCCTCCGATGACATGGGACAATGGAGTGGAGTTCAGGATCAGTTCAAAAAGGGTAGAACTGGGTTTATATTGTAATCAAATCCAGAGTTGAAATATAAGTGGGGCTCAACAAAACCCCACCCGTGTCCAGCAGAACATGCAAAGAGTGGTAAAGCTGCTGACAATAGGACAGTGGTGGAATGTTATGAAGTACAAGTAGTAAAGTAGTATTTTCCGAACTATAAGTCGCTCCAGAGTATAAGTCGCACCAGTCAAAAAATGCATAATGAAGAAGGAAAAAAACATATAAAAGTCACGCTGGATTATAAGTCGCATTTTTGGGGAGAAATTTATTTTATAAAATCAGAGACCAAATACAGACATTTCATCTTGAATGGTAAGTTAATAACAATAGAACATATTAACGTAACATATTAACAGTTATTTAGGCCCTGTTTACACGAGGATGCTTGCGGGTAAAAACGACTAAATGTTTTATAAGTGATTTCATTTAGACGGTGACAGCGTTTGAGGGCTTAAAAACACAAAAATATGAAACCACCCTCCAAAGTTGAATACGCTGTGCTGTAGCGTTTCCGTCTAAACTGCCCAAGACACAAAACTCTGGTCAGATCTGCTCACGTTGCGTATGCGTTTACATCACATACATCCCCACCTAGAGTCACCACCGAGCCGCCTGACATGCATACCCAATCGAATTCCACACACTTCTGCGTCACCGTATACACGCGGAAAAAAAGTAAAGGTGCAACGTCACTTTTACGTCTTCTGTTCAGACAGTCATCATATAAACGTAGCCTCAGACAACATATTTTGGGGCATCATTGTCTGTGCTCTGGTAGAGGCGGTTGTGTTGCATGAAGCGGTACCACCAAGAAAGTCGTCCCAAAAAGTCATTTATATTCATCTCCTTGGCAACTAGCTGGGCGTGGAAACGTAACTGCACTGTTGACAAGCCTCTCCCAGCAGTACGTTGTTCTAGCACCCATTTGTGAACTTGTTCCTCTAGCTGTGGCCATCTAGCTTTTAGCCCACAATTGGCTTTTTTGTTTTCTTCATTGCAGTTAAAGTATCTTCTGCTTTTCATCAGTCCCTCACAAGTTTCTCGCTCACTCCAAACTTTCTTTCTGCTGCTCATTACTGTTTTCAGCTGCATATTTCACTACTTGCAGCTTCTAATTTGCAGAATATGATTTTCTTTTTGGGGGTATTTGTGTTCAGTCTTCCTTTCTTGTCTTTAGAACTTGATGTTTGAATTTTACATTTTCAGGGGTATAATACAGGAGTAATAAGAGTAGCAGATACTGGCACACACGCCTAAAGTGCCCTCTCGCCGCTGTCAGTGTGAAAATAACCAACATGTGAAATTATATATTTTAATAGATAAGTCGCACCGGAGTATAAGTCACCGTGAAACCATGAAAAAAAGTGTGACTTATAGTCCAAATAGTACGGTTCTGTACTTAATTAAAAAATGTAGGTATCTGTATTTTACTTATGTACATTTGAAAGAGGATACTTTTTGCTTCACTAGATTTGAAAGCAGGTATCTCTCCTTTCTACTCCTCTACATTTTTCAACAGGACTGAAAAGTAAAAGTAAAGTAAGAGTAAAATTTAAAAATAGTATTTGTATTTTTGTTTGAAACTTGTTGTAAAGGCAAGTCAAGTGCATGGTTTGAGCAAACACAAATTTACAACAAAAAAAAATGTAATAAGTTGTTTCTGCTTAACAAAATTCAACACAAATCTTTATCAGAATCTCTATATTTGAAGTTTTATTATAGAGATCTCACACGCTGCAAAAATACTTGTACTTTTTACTCTTTAAGTACATCTTTAAATGGGTACTGTGATATTTTAAGTAAATCTTTTTGTGTGATACCTTTACTTTTTTTTTTGCTCTGGTATCTGTTAAGGCTTGTTGCTACTATGTCTGCAATTTTTAGCCAATCAACATGAAACAAAAATGGATTAAAATTTTCATGTCAGATTTATTAGTACAAATTAGAGATTGACCGTGTTTTTATGGCCAATGCTGATACAGATTGTTTAGAATAGGTCGATAAGCTCTACCGATATTTTGGAGCAGATATGTAGGACCAATTTTCATTATTTTTTCTAAATTTTCCCTAAATTTTTTAAAGCTTGTATTAAGCTTTGTGTATTTTTTTAGGCAGCAGATAGACTATAGATAGATCGGATAGCCTGTACGCTAAAAAGTGCAAATATTGGCCAACTAATATATCGGTATATCGGTTATATCTCTGTTTTTAAAATGTGTTGGAAATGCTGATATTTGGACATGGGAGTTGAAAAAACTTGAAACCAAGATTCATTTGGAAAGACTGTGGTCCTTATCAGTAATGACTATCTGGTTTAATATTTGCACATTTTTGGTTTCTGTCAAAATACTGTGTCAACCACAAAGTTATATTAGACCGACCCTTGCCCTCCATTTGAACTAATAATACTCAAATTCTTGCGCAAGAATGTAACTTTCTGAATGAACCGATGATGGACAGTTGGATAGAAGAGGAGTTGTTCACGATATAGATTTCTGACATAATATTATTTTATGGGTGTGGCTCTGTTTTTGAAAGAAATCTGGAAAGCTTATGCTCAAATCGACAAATGCTGAACTTTTATTTTTGTCCAATTTTCAGCAGCCTATATTACGTTATTTTTCTGATCTAAACAGACCTGGAGCTGTGTTTTGTTTCATTCTCACATGTTTAACGCACAAACCCTGCAGATTTAGTTTTAGTGAGTTCACAGACAATACTCCGTTCCACCTTGTGATGTCATGTGGTAAAACAGGAGGTGCTCCACTGTGTTTTTAAACTCCATACATCTTCACTAGAATCATTTGGATGATTTCAGCTATGGAATTACCTACCATTGTCTACTGAACAAAAGTTAAAAAGTAGCTGTTATAGGGCTGTCGTGGTTAGAGAATTTCTCCTGCGGTGCGGTATAGCAGCTCAACAGCGCGGCATGAGGTGATACACATACCAACGCTGGTCCTTTCGCCTGCAGTCACCGAACGGTCTACACAGGCCCCTACAGTGAGTCCTGGTTCAGTTCTGATCTAGTCCTGGTTCAGTCATGGTTTAAGCCTCCTGGTTCTGTCCTGGAATCAGTTCTAGGTTAGTCCTGGGTTAGTCCTGGTTTAGTCCTGGTTTAGTCCTGGTTCAGTCCGTGCCGTGTACAGCATCTCAGTCAATGTTTCTTCTGCTCAGTAAATAATGCCTGTAAAGTGATGATGTATTTTTGACAGTAGAGACGCATCTGTGAATTTGTATTCGTAATGAAGAAAGCATAACCATTTCATTTCGTGATTGTAATTCTTGAAATCTTGACTTTTCAATTTGTAGGCCTATCATGGATGCTTCAGTAAGAATGCTTTTAGTTTGTATGTGATTTATCGCGGGTCCGGGCGGGTTTGGGTCTCCAAAAATGGATCTGTGCAGGACTCTGGTTCGGGTCACGTTGGTCACGTGCGGTGATCGCAGTGGCCCAACATTCACTGCGATGGGCCTCTTAGTTAATTCATTTTTACAGTTATCACGACAGTCATAAGCTGTTAACTTGAAAACTACTGCTTCTTGACAGCATAAGGTGGATCAGAGCTTTGAAGATATAAATGTAGGATTTCTATGAGGAGGTAACAACAGCATAACATGGCTTAAAGTTCACAATTGTGCATAATACAAGACTTTTAATCTTATATCTAACTTCCCAACTTTGCAGAGACATAAAGATTTGAACTAGTTATTTCATGATGCAGAGAGGACTTTTTAGGACTAAACCTGAACCTAAACCAGGACTAGAACAGGATCAAATCAAATCTACAGCAGGATCTAACTCAATCCAGTACGAAAGCGGTGCAAATGTGAGAGCACCATTAAAGATTATTATCGCTATTAGTCTAACTTTTACCACATTATATCCTCAGTGATTTTCCTCCTCCGGACAAATGAATGCAGCGTTTCAATCCAGATGTGGGCCCACTCCCAACGAGCAGAGGGTTTAAGGGTTTGCTCACCAGTCTCGAGGGAGCGGAGAGAGGGAGTTTGGCTCACGTTTCACAAAATCAAGATTCTCTCAGAGTCTCAGAGCGTAATGTTGTGCAAAGGGTGATGTCATGGCTGAGGGTGAAGCAGGGAGCAGAGGTGTGGTCACTCAAATAAGTTCCATCCAGCTGCGTTAAGTGTCCCATTGGCTCACTGTGCATCAGCTGTCATCTGCCTGCACGCCTAAAGCCCAGATATACTATAAAAAATTTTTAAAAATGTAATTAAAATAAAAAAAAAAACATTGGAATGAGAAATGGAATTGCTAATTAAAGCCATTAAAGTTGATGTTTGTGTGTGTCCATGTGTGTGTGTGTTTATTGCACTGAAAAACATGAGAAACACCTGTTCTTACTGGATGGGTTAACATCTCCACAAACCTGACTCTTATTTGTTTGATTCCATGGAAATGTTGTTACTTTGGCTATAACTACTATGAGTACTGCATAGAACTTATCAGTTTCCATGGACAATGTTCCCCAAGTGTGTTTTAATTTTGTATTTCCATGGAATCATGCAGATGACTTTTCACCTCCAGAGAGTTACATAGTTTTATCTTGCATTTATTCAGTCACGTTTTTGGTTTTTGTTTTTTTTCTGCTTGAAAATACCTTGAAAAACACACATTCTCATTCCACAGATCTGACCTGTAACTTGGCCTAGAGGTGTCACAGGACACACCTTTAGTGCACAGTGCGCCTTTAAAGGGGACTTATGACTTATTATGAAAAAATCAACTCAAAGATGTTACAGCAGCGTTCCCTCATCATTAGCTTACCCAAAGTTGTATTTTTTGATAGGTTCTTGTTTCTTTGAGTGATCTCGTGCTGCATTTGAGGCTTGAGTGCTTAGAAATTTTCAAATTTCACCTCTCACATATGTCCACCATGTGGGTGGAGATAGGTGATAGGTGACTACTCTGAGTCAAAATTGTTCAGTTCAGTAGACATTCATCAAAAATAAAAACATACATTTAAAAAATCCAGAGCTTCTCTTGGGCTGAAATGAAGAGGCTGGCTTCTCAGTTCTTCAGTTTTGAACAAGAATGCAATATTCACATTTCTTAGTCATTTTAGATCCATATAATAGTTTACAATGCACAAAATATCAAATGGTACCAGAAGGTACAGCATAATATAACTACATTATAATTATTTTTGCAGGCAACAACTAAGAGGATCATTGAAGCTGTCCCTGCATACTGGTGCAGTAAACAACAGGCCTGTACACTCAACCTGCATCAAGACGCCAACACTGTGCTCCTGGAGAGTGAGGGCGGTGAGGATCTGATTCTACTTTCATTTGGATTTAGGCTCATGATTCAATACTGAAAACAATGCACCGGTGCTACAAGCATCTTTTTTTTATTTAACATGCAGGACAAAGAATATTATATATTATATATTTTCAAATGCTATACAACACATTTTTATCATACTGTGCAATATGTTTAAAAAACTTCTTCCTATTCATTTTGAATATTTTAAATGATCTGTCTGTGTAGTACCTCAGATGTCCAGGTAGAGTCCACAGCAACTGCACAATAAGCTCTATTCATGCTTACCAGAAGACGTTTGGAAACATGCAGGTGATGACTTCCAGTGTAGTTACAGACACTGGGCATGTGATTAAACCGTGGATTCAGCAGCAGCAGTCTTCACTCACAACCTGCCAAAGCTTTCCATGGGCAATGGGACTCTAATCACATCTTCCATGTCACTTACAGGCAACCGGTTGTGACTGTTGATCTGTCAAACGCAATGGAACGCTACAATGACATATTTTTTTCTTTTTTTTTTAGACAAAAGTTAGATTAAATTATAATACACAAATACAGTTTATTAAAGGAAAAAAGAAAGAATACAGACCTCTACATGAAGAAAACCACACCATTTTCTCAGTTTTCAGAGTTACTATCACCAACAGAGCCCAAAGGAAGTCAGCATCATCCTCATCATTTCCAAACGTCTTCTGGTTTTGTGATGTAAGAGTGAATAGAGCCCATTTGCACTGCTTTAAATATATCACTGAAGGGAACATGTTTGTGTTTGTGCAATCACACATGAAGTGTAGAGTAGCTAAATAACAAATATTTATCACTGAAAGTCAGACGAAATCACTGTACTAACTCTTCTCTCTTTCTCCTGCAGCCAATTTGGGCACTCTGGCCTCAGCTCTCCAAAGTGAAGAGATGAAACCGGTATGTCAAATCTCACGTATTTGTCCAATATTTCTTTTACATCTTCATAGAGTTGCATCAGAATTTCACTTAAACTGGCCATAACCTAAATTAATCTTTTGGAATAGGACAATAACAGTTGCACATTGATTTTATAATCTTAATCAGAAATGTAGTTTCATATTTTGCTGTGACAGAAACTCAAAAAGTAGGTGATTCTTTAAAAGGATTAACATATGCATGGGTTTTAGAATGATAGCAAATTAGGACTGATTCCATAGAGATTACCAATTTAAAACATATAAAATCAAAAAGTTCCCGAAATGATACATATAACTGAAAGCTGAAATCCATGAATAACTTACAGCCACTATAAGCTGTGAATGAATGCATCAAAATGTAAATCAACTGAAAAAAGTTTTATATGAGACTTTTGTATATTTTTTTTATTATTACAAGCAGTTCTAAAAGCTCCTCCTGTCTTTGTAGCTTGGTGCTAGAGATGTGAAATACTCTTCGTCCTCTGGCTCCTCTGTGTTCGTGGGGATCCTGGTCACTGGTCTGCTGGCTGCTCTGGCTCTCACTGTGGGCTACTTCAAGTGTCAGCGCAGACCCAGCCCCAAAGGAGAACGTCTGGTAAGTCTGTCCACACATTTTAACTCAGCAAATTATTACAGATGCTACAGATGTATTATTTATGACGCTGTTCAGTGACTGCTCTATGCTGGAAGGTCACTGTGTTTATGGATGCTAGTGCTTGATAATGGTAGGCAAAAGGACTATTGGTAATATGGTCATTTCTGAGATATGATGATTTCTTAGATACCATATCATTTATTTTAGTCAATCAAGGCAAATATATCAAAATGACGTATTCGACTTACACCAGGTAAAACCAAAACAAGTGTCATGCTGGAGAGAGAAGATGTCGCTTAACCAATTTTGCCATTTTTGCAATACAAATTTTCTCTTTAAGGATGTTATAAGCCACCATCACCATCCGCCGGCGCCACCACGTTTTTTGGAGGGTTTTTGTCCATGTAGTACATAGAAACTCGTCCCTGTGCCATAGAAGCCTTGTCTTTTGGGACAACAACGGCTCAGGTCGAATTTAAACCATACAGCGGGAGCACCTCATGATGGATTCTTGTGAGTCTGTGAACTCACAAATTTTGTGAGAATAAATTTTGCTGTTCAAGGTTAAGTTGAACCTGTTGTTTGTGTTGTGATAGAGCTCAGAAAGAGTGGATGGACTCACAAAAATGAAAGTGAACCTTATTAAACATGTTAATATGTTGTTTTCTGCAAATATAACATTCTCAAAACAATAAAGGGAAACATGGTGACCTAAATATGTTATGTGTTGGCAGTTAAAACCCAGTAGATGTAACTGAAATGATTTTTTGGCTTCATATAGAAAAGTTTGTCAGATGAAATAGCAGAGGATTAGCAAATCAAGAGCATTACTTCCGTAAAATGTTGAACAAGTTGATACAGCAAAAACAAAAATAACTCGATACTGACAGCCCTTTTTAAAGCTAATACATCTCGCTGAGTGCATCCTCTCCCATTACATACCCATGTCAGCTTGAAACGAGAGCCATGCTTGTTTTTCTCCTCAAACTGTGCACTGTTTTAATTACAGAATGTATCTGGACGCTAATCAGAGGAATTACACAGGCAAAGATTCAATGTGTTCAATTCAAAGAGTTCCACCCCCAGAGCTGCCTCATACATCACTGTTTCATCTGTTTGCCAGTTGCACTGCTTTTCTGTAGCTGTGACATGAGGAGGAACACAAAAGAAGCATGGGGATTATTAGAATGCAACAGATTCTACTATGAGGACAAATTTGCATTAAACTCATATTTTATTCCAGGTTGATGTGTGTTTCCTCTTTCAGAATTGACTATGAATGGTAAAATATGAAAATTTATATAGCGATAAAATATTTGACTTGACCGTGTAAATACAACTTTACAAGGTGAAAACAAGATTAAAGGTACACTGTGTAACGTAACTTTTCTGGTGAAGGATCCATCTCCTGTTTGTTTCCATGGAATTGTCAAAATGATCAAGTTTTATTTATTAAATTGTGGGTGTTTTTAATACTACAAATAAATAGAAAAACCTTGCATTCTTACTGTGAGTTAGCCTGATTCACCACCTTGTAGCGTTAGAATTCATTTGCTCGACGGTAGGCAGGTACTTTTTATCATTTAACCAACTGCTGCTATTTGGTTATGATGTGTGTAATGTGCCGCTAACGGGGCTAACTGATATATTAAGCTTTTCCAAAATCCTAATAACGGAATAACGTCTTTCCCCTTGATAAAATTCAGTGAACATTCTCTTTGTTCCAGCTTTAAATCCTCGATCTCAGGAATCATTGCCAACACAGAATGTATGGCTCTTCACTGATTGGCTGGTGCCCAAACTCGCACTTTTTTTTGTGAACTGTCTAGTTTATTCCGATTCCTGACCTAGTCACTGGAGAGAAATGAAATTGAGTGGTGGCACCAGCCTGGCTAACTGTGAGTGGGGTCGCCTCTCCACAGACCCGGTCTGTAACTTCACCTAGTGGCATAACCTGTTTGTCTCAAACATCGACTTTATAAAGAAGTGGACTAAGTGAGTGGGGCGTCACTCAAATGAACCTCGCGATACTAAAGGTTACAGGAGTAAATTTGAAGCCATGTCCATATTAGGATTTTTTTGAACCCCTTTTACCTTTAAGTAGATGGTAAATTAAGTTGAGATTATTAATTTGACTGTAGCAAAAAATAAATTAAATAAATAAATAAAGAGAAACTAGAAACAAGTGCTTGCCAAAGGTTCCTAGGAAGGTCCTGCATATGCATTAACTGGTACTGGGAGAATGCAGCCACTATCTCGGCTTATATCTTGATCAAACGGTTTGACACATGTTTGTGACACTCAGACAAAATAGCAAAATAAAAACACCAGGATCATGTACAGTTATTAGGGTTAATACGAACATTTTAAGACCAAAATGACGAGGCTCACAGCAGCAGTTACAGAGAGGGGGGTCACAATATTCCAAAGTAAGTCAATGGTCAGGGGGCCAGGGTCAGAAGGAGCCAGAAGCGCCTGCATGTGAACTTCGAATTATATCTACAGTTCATCTCAGTGGAAATAGATGATATTACTACCATATTTTGGAATATTCTACTCAAAGCAAAACCATCTCCAAGCAGGTGGCAGATCCACCACCAATAAAATTACTTTCTTCTGTTCATGCATTCTGGTCTTACTCTAGAATGTTTTTGATATCCATGGGTTTGATAAAAATGTATCAGTGTTGCCATAGCAATTAAGAATTCACAACAAAATCCTCAAAATATCATATATAGAAAAGAAACTGAAAACAATGCGAGACAGATAATAATTGTAATGTAATTTTTATATGAATTTCTTCTGTCCCACCAGGCAGAGGAGGGCACCCCGGTGGACCAGCAGAACCAGGCCAACACTCTGGCATCGGATGCCCCCCTCAACCCTCCACCTGAGACCCCCGAGAAGCCCAGTGCCAACGGAGAGGCGCCCGAGGGAGACAAGACCCCGGCCCCGCCCACTAACGGCCACTCTACTCCTGCTAATACTGCAGATACCGAGCTGTGAAAACCTCCATTCAACACAATACACAATACACACCTACAACCACACCATCACGATTTCACTACTTCAGTACTGCAGTTTACTTAAAAGGCTCATTTATAGTTTCATTCCAGATAGCGGCCTAAAGATGATTGGTTTTGATGTGATTTCTACATATAAGCCTATAGTCAATTTTAAATCTGCACTCTGTAACTTTCAGGTGTGACTTTCCCACCAGCAAAGCTACATTTACACTTTTAGTTTGATATTAGGCAAGCTTGTTAAGTTATTCAACATACGAATCTTACTTTCTTAATCAATAGGTATTATAAGTGAAAATAAACGGGTAAATGGTTAGGTACAGTTTGTGAAATAAGAAAATTATAATTATATCTGAGCTGAGTGTCCTGGACTATTTGGACATCTCAAGGTCGCTTACCAATGTTTCCTCTAAAAACATCTTGGTTATGTCAGTCCAATCCAACTTTATTTGTATAGAACATTTCATCAACAAAAAGTCTCTAAAGTGCTGTTCAGAGTAGGCACGAAATAAATAAACAAAATTGAACAAAATGAACAAAATATGGCGTAGAACATCCATAAAGTCCATAAAAAACTAAAATTATCAAGCAGCAAGGAGCAAGTGATTTTAAGATAATTGAAGGTGACTGATGAAAACGTGGCTGCCAATTTACAACAATGGCCAGTCCACCAGACACCAACCATCTCTCACTTCACAGTGCCTTGCCCATGGACATATCAACAGTAACACAGCAGTATACACTAGACCTAGACATAGACTTGGACAAACGTGGTTCATCCACAACAAAAATTGTATGGACACAGTAGCTCACACATCACAATATAATATAATAACAAAGAGCAAAAGTATAAATGGTAATAACAAATTCGAAAAATAGTAGCAAAAATACCTAAAAAGTTAAAGGGACAGTTCAGAACTTTGGACACAGGACCTCATTTCCTACTTAACCAGAATGTTGGAGACATGTGGAGACACTTTTTAAATATTCCATCCAGTCCTTGTATTTGCAGAGGTCACTGGTCCTAGGCTAGTACATGTCAATGGCCATAGCTATCCTGTCTTACTCACTCCACAAAACACCTGAAGTAAATCTTATATTACACCAAACTGTCGACGTGAATGTCTGTGTTGATAGAATAATGTTTGAAATAAAACTAACCTTGCATCGCATGAATTGTAGCATGTCGAGGGACTATTTTTTCATATATCAGTCCACCGCTGCCAAGCTTTCTGTCTGGAAGTACAACTCGCTGCTGCTGCTCAGACATAAATCCTTCAAATGCAAGGTTGGTTTTACTTCTAAAATTATTCTATCAACACAGACATTTACATGGACAGTCTGGCGTAATAACAGATTTGCTTCGGGTGCTTTGTGGAGTGTTTTTAGTGACAGGCTAACTATGGCCATTGATATGCGCTAGCCTATCACCACCAGCAACCTCTGCAAATACAAGGACTGGATGGAATATTTCAAAAAGTGTCTACACACATCTCCAACACTCAACACTAACTAGGAAATGAGGTCCTATGTACAAAATTCTGAACTGTCCCTTTAAAGCTGAGACCACACCGCCATTCTTCCAGAGCACCATTGGACTATAAATGAGCCTTTAAAGTACAGATGCTTATGTCTTCTTTTGGTTCAGTGCCTGTATACACATTAGAGTGGAGATAGTGAGGGGCCTCCGTGAGTTATGGCAGTGACGGAGCAGACGTGTCCCTCGGGTGGGTGACTGCAGAGGGGTTGGACGGGCTGACGAGGGCGGGTCAGGGTGGAGGCTGGACAGACAGAAAAGTTTATTATGATGATTAATGACTTATGCAACCTCTAGAGTCTACAGTATGGGCCCCGCGCTGTCAACACCCAAAACGAGGGCTGCAATATTTTAAAATAACATTGCGAGTTTTCTGACAAGTGTTGCAATTGTGATTAGACTTGCAATTATGTTTTAAAAAGTAGGATTCTGTTCAAGAACAAGAGGTACAAGACTATAAAAAGACTGGATATTTTGTTCTTTGCACAGTTTGCAGAGGTCTTTTTTATTATTATCTAAATTATTGCAGCCTTTGTGATTTGAGAACTGTGCCAACTCAAACTGCAATTTAAATTCTACGGCGATTAATAGTGTAGCCCTACCCCAAAAACTGTCTCTGCACACCATCAGGACAGAACACAGCATGGCCATATTACAACTAGGGATGTCATCATATCAAATTCTAGTGTTTAGTCATGATTTTGCAAATATAATATATATTGAAATAGGGTCAGTCCATATGAAATCAGCCGCCCTCCCCTATGAGCCATCTCAGCCACAAATAATCTCCAATTGTCTTCCTTTATAACAAGCAAATAGTGTTTAAGGCTGTTAAAGGTAATTGAACCTTTCTAGCAGGTGGAGAAGTACCTAAGCTCTACCAAAATTACCCATGAGAGCTTGTTTTTCAAAAATTCAGTTTGGAATGAAGGACGTTAATAGTAGAGGTTTTTATTAATTTAAAACAATCAGAATCTTCCAAAGTTTCTCTGGTAAAAATTTTATCAACATCTAACTGTGCCCACAATCCACAAGGGGAACTGAGGGTCCAAAGAAGGGGCCAAAAAGATCCCATTTGGTCTGTGACCATATTTGGGACTCTACACCATCCACATGAAAAGCTAAGAATAGTGTGAGATTGCTATCAGAAATGGTCATTCTCTCAAATATTCAAGTTCAACAGTTAGTTTGTAATTATCTGCTTGGAGTAAATGGATCTTGGACCTCAAAAATTGAAAAAAAATAAATAAATTGAGTGGCAACCAAATGTGAGACTTTGGGGGTCCACATCACTCCCCTAAAGATACCCAATATTGACAAGGGATTTAGAATCTATGACCAAGAATCTACAATAATTCTAATAAAAGCTTCCTAGCTCTATTTTTTATGAAGTTATGGTCTCTCAAAAATGCTTATAAATGAAGATTCTCGAAAAAGTGAGCATGACCCCAAAATTTCAGCAGGTCAAAACTCAGGAAAGACTGAAGGTATTGAGCTAAAATTTTAGATTCTTTCATTTGGTAATTTTAGAAATTTTTAAAAAGAATTTCAGCAAAATCTGAGGTAGCTCAGAGGGGAGATTCCTTGAAAATGACTGATTTCATATGGACTGACCCATTAGAGAAGTTACATACTGCATCTTCAGTATACTTCCATCACATTGTTTTTTTCTGTGAATGAAGACTCTGACTAGCTTTACAAAACAAACTTTCAAAATTCAAAGGCAACATTTTATGTGTGTAGATTCAGATTACTTCTGCATACACAGGACATTTCTTTATCTTGACATCCCTGTTTACAAGATACAGAACCCCTTCACAAAAGGACAGATGGACAGATATAGGAAAAGACCACACTGCCTTGAATCTGTTTACATGCATTTGGCTTGACTCTGTAAGTATGTTAACGAGTGGTGCATGAGCGAGTTATGGTAAACTTGTTTAAGTCATGCATGGACTGTATATAGCCACACATGCATCTAGCTTCTGTTGTTGACTGTACTGTATGGACTACAACAATCACGTAAATACTGGGACACTGTGTGAAATGCAAAATAATGATGGGATTTTTCATTTCAAATAATATTAAAAAAGAATGATAAAAAATAAAATGGAAAATTAAAATTAAAGGGACAATCCGGAATTTTGGACATAGGACATCATTTCCTAGTGTTGGAGACATGTGGAGACACTTTTTAAAATATTCCATCCAGCCCTTGTATTTGCAGAGGTCGCTGGTGCTAGGCTAGTGCATGTTAATGGCCATAGTTAGCCTGTCTTACCTACTGCACAAAACACCCAAAGCAAAACTATTATTACACCAGACTGTCGATGTAAATGTCTGTGTTGATAGGATAAAGTTTGAAATAAAACTAACCTTGCATCACATGAATCGTTGAGGGACTATTTTCTCAGCAGCAGTGGAATCTTACTTTGCTGGTAAGGTAGGTGCTAGGTGATATCAGTCCGCAGCTGCCAAGCTTTCTATCAGGAAGTACAACTCACTGCTGCTGCTCAGACATAAATCCTTCAAATGCAAGGTTAGTTTTATTTCTAAAATGATTCTGTCAACACAGACATTTACATCAACAGTCTGGGGTAATAATAGATTTGAGTCGGTTGCTTTGTGTAGTGGGTAAGACTAACTATGGCCATTGACATGCGCTAGCCTAGACCTAAATGAGGTCCTATGTCCAAAATTCTGGACTGTCTTTTTAAATGGAATTAAATTAAAATTAAATTTCATACATCATTTTATTTTTTTGCTCATCAAGGTTTTTTTTTTTGTTTTTTTTTTTAATGGGTTTTAATAATTTGACATTATACACTGCGTCCCAGTTTCTGTGTAATTATAAGTGGTCTGGACTAATATTGAGTGTGCTGTTTGAGAGTTCATGTGACATTAGCCTTGAAAACTGTTTTAAAAAATCATGTATAAAATCTTTTGAAAAATTGCGAAGGGATACAAAGAAGTATGTGACGAGGAGACAAGAGCTTCGAATTCTCCAATGACAACTTGATTCAAACTCGAACAACATAAGTATCTCCATCTTACCAGCTCTGCCTCCTATCAGTGTTAATATGACTTTAAATATAATGTATATTCTTTGTATGTGTTTGCAGTGGTGGACAGTTTTGTATGTTGTTTTAACTCTATACCACTTGTTACTGTGTGAGTTGTACCAAAGAAACTTGTACTGCTTTACAATCTTTGCATACCAAATTAACCATGCTATCTTCCAAATATGACTTGTAAATAAAAGCAGAAGAGATCTTTGTCCAATGTGTTTCTCATCTGAAGCTTTTGTATCACTTTTGTATTGCTAACATTCCTATGCAACTGTTACAAAAACCCTGACATCAATTGGATGAATAAACTGTCAAAATAAAGGACTTTTTTTTAAACCAATGTGCTTTTATTTTAGAATTCATATTTGTGTGTTATGCAAGTATAAGTATAATAGTATAAGCATAAGTATAAGTACAAATTGTCAGTAGCTCAATTGGTGTTTGATCCGAAAGTTGGTGGTTCAAATCCAACTCTCAACATGAAACATCACTGGGAGAGCAGTTAGATCCACTGACCCACAGTTTGGCCGTGCAATTTCAGCGCCCCACAGATGAATGCTGTCCTTGTATCCTTGGTCAAGACCCTTAACCCACCTCGCCCCTGGTGTCTGAGTACACTGGTGTATGAGTATGTGTGTGAATGGGTGAGTGGTTTCTTGATGTGAAGCGTTTTGAGTGCCTTGCAGGTAGAAAAGTGCTGTATAAAAATGTATGTATTCTGTATTTATATCGCTTGTCTCTGTGGATATTTTTTACTTTGCCTGGAAAGTTCCATAGTACGGCATTAAACTTCATGGAGACAAGCCGGTGACAGCACGTCAAGTCATGTCAAATCTCACAGTTTCTTTCCTTTTTAATATAGTTTAGAGCAATTAAAATACCTGGAATTGAATAAATGCAAGATAGATTAAGTTTAATGCCAAACTGTGGAACATTCCAGGCAACGCAATGACTCTCCATGGAGACAAGCAGGTAGCATCTTAATCCAGACTGTTACAGTGATAGTTCAAGGACTCTTTTTTTTTTTTTTTTACCTCAGTACCAGTATTGTTAACTGACTCACTTAGAAATTCAATGTCAATGTATTATTTTTCCTTCTATCAACAGTAATGAACAGTTTCCAAATCCCACTCTCGACATAAACATTATGGGCTGAGCGGTCAGATCCACAGACCCACAGGTTGGCTTTTGTGGTTCCAGCTCCCACAGATGAATGATGTTGTTGTGTCCTTGGGCAAGACACTTAACCCACCTGTGTGTGAATGGGTGAGTGGTACCTGTTGTAAAGCGCTTTCAGTGTCTTGAAGGTGGAAAATATAGAAAAATGTGACTATTTACTGGACTGAACTGGTCATTTGCTCAAAGGAAAGGGAAAATATTAATTCATAGTTCATAAACAATACATTTTTGTTACCTCAAAGGGCCCATATTATGCTATTTTCTGATCTATGCGATAATGTTTCCTTATCACAAACAGATGTGGAGTTGTGTTTTGTTTCACTCACATGTGTTTAACTCACAAACCCTGCATATTTAGGCAGAGTTCTTTTCTCAAACAGAAAACACTCACCACCAAAATCACTGTCACAAGTTGGAACAGAGCATTCTGAGCTTTGGAGATGTAGACAGACTAATAATAACAAAGGGTTACTCAAATATGTATGAATGAAACAAACCACAACAATGTTTTTGAGGAGGCAACAACAAGTCAATTTTGCATTATATAGGACTTAACTTATTTTAACTTTAAAGCTACCATCTGTAATTAGAATGGCTGACCCACCCCTCTTGTATTCTCACGAACAACCCCTAGATACTTTCTGTGTTATAGCTGTCTGATAATGTGCCAGCGTTGGTCTGACAGAAGAAGACCAGAGAGCACAGGTGAGTCTAAACAAAGGCCAGGTGAAGAGAGGGGGGGGACAACTTGCAGATGGTAGCTTTAAAAGTGCACTGCGTGACTTTTCAGACTGGGGTTCTGCCAACATGGACATGCTATTGCTTTGCTTGTAATGCTCCTTGATTTGGTATTAAACATATATGAGGTGCATTTATTCAATTATGTGTGTGTTTTATTGTCATTAAAAACATTTATTCTTACTGAGAGTGGGATCACGCTTTATAGATCTCACCTGTAAACTGGCGTGGTGGCGTCTCCTGCTTGTCTTGAGATTGGTAAGTTTAATGGCGTACCTTGGAACATTGCAGGGAAAGCAGGTAACGGACGCTCAACCAGGAACATTACACAAAGCACCTTTAAATGACTTTGTTGTTGTTTCATATATTCACATTATGTCACTAACGTGTTTTTGTGCGAGAAAAGAAGCAAAAGGAAGTGTTTTTTTAGCAACTCTGAAATCTTGGCTGTACCATGAACTTTGTTTGCGTCAGACAGCCCAGTGACCACATACATGTACAGCACACACCCATACTTAACACACACGCCTTTGCTTTAACACAGTTGGAATGCCAGTCCCTGTGTGCCATATGGATCACAGCTGGTTTACATGAGCAGTAGTAATGACATCACCCACATGGTTTTGTCTTTCAGAGCGTAGGTGTGGTCGTGCAGTCATGTCCGACAGCTGTCTGCACAAAACACACAGGCATGTTCACTGGATTTACCACACATATGTTATTACACATACTAACTACCAGAGCTAATGACAATACTGGTATCCCTGATTAAACCTGTGGAAATGAATGTAAATAAACTTAAAAAAAAAAAAGAAGGAAAAAGAAATGTAGACTATTACCGTTAGTTCTATCGCAACCTAATTTAGTAAATGTTTGACATAATGAATTAAAATGAATGCATTTTTGTAATTAGTTTGCAATAAAACTAATTGTGATGTGTTTACACTTCCACTATTCCCAGTGAGGCTTTTGTTGATTGAGCAAATGATCCATTATAAAACAACAAGGCAACATTCTGAAAGCTTTTAAGGGTGCCAAAGTTCACAAATATTCACAAATATTAAAAAGTGCTTAAGGCTACAATTACACATAGCCAGGTACATTGAGAAACAAAATATTTCACGTTTCCAAAATAACATCGTGCACATAGCATCATTTACATGAACCTGCATAAATAAGCCATCGAGCGCTGTTATAACTACTATTATACTCCCAGCCTCTCACTGGCACCTGGATTAGATTCAAACTTGTAGCATTTATTTCATTACAGTTCAAAGTACCTTGAAAAATGTGCATTACTGAGCAGGCTCGCCTCTCCACAGATCTGTTAAAGAAGTGGCAAAATTGCTGAACTCCGAGCCTCATTGGTCTCTGGTCATGGATATGATACATCAAAAATGTGTGTAAATGCAAACACATGAAAAGTGTTTGCACCAGAAGAAATGCGACTGCTGCTCTGAATGCTCCATCATCATGATCAGAGAAAAAGGTAAACACTGATCGCGTCAGCTCCTAAATCTCTGTTTATCTCACTTTACACGCAAATGCGAAACCGTAGTTTTCCAGAATCTCCACTCTAGCCGGAGTTTTTAGAAATATTCATTTTCAGAGGCAAATTCTCCGTTTGTGTGTAAAAGATCGGTACAAATGAAGGGAAATGTTTTAGTTTTTAAAAATACCTGTGTACCTGTAAATAAATGTCAGGATCCATTGTCCTAATACTACTACTACTATACAATACTTTAATACACCAATATGGAACCCCATCATTACTCACTCACAAACACGCCATATTAATACGACTGCTTCGAGGTCTTTCAGCGGATAATGATCAGGTCTTTGAGACTGAAACATGGTGCCACTTTCTGAGGCTACTATGAACATATAATTTAACTTTTATTTATTTTATGCTGATAGAGACATTTACAGATATATATATATATGTTTTTGTTATTAACCATAACCACGTCAACAAATTGATTCCTTACTTACCTAATGCATTCTTAGCATCCTCTTTATGCACTGTGACAAATTTATAAGTGCTTTTCACAACTCTCAGTGACCAGAGCGAAATTTTGCCATGACCGGTAAAGCTAACAGTAACTAGCATGCTAACGTGCACTTCCTAAGTATCAGACAATAAGATGGAGACAGCGCACAGCAGACTTACTTACAATGCATCTGTACTGGGGCAAGACATTTTAGTATTTTATTCAAATACCTGGGGAAAAAATTTAGTACAGAGACTTTTAACAGCAAATATTATCGCAGCATTCTAACTTGTCCTACATCGTATTTTAAAGTACAACATTTTGATGTCATGTGAATGTCAGGCCTATTAAATGTGATGTCATTTAAAACCCTGCAGTTCCTTCACTATAACTTCAGCCTATGAGACAGCAAGATGAGTTCTCATCTCCTCACTCCTGCTTTTCATCAGCTCACGTCCCTGTGGAATCCTCTGCTCCCCGGCTCCCTCCACACCCTACAAGGAAAATATTTAGTCAAGGCCTTGTAGCAGAGCTGTTAAACACTGCTGTTGTCACTGTACACCGCTGTGGACTACAACAAGCACACGGCGAAGATAGAAATATGTAGATCTGAATGTGACGCTGCCAACTGGTGCACAGATTTAAATGGTGCAAATCCCAGAGGATGTACACATCACTGTATGGATGGGAATGAAGGAGTCTCCCTGTTTCTCAAGGGGCAGTAGCAGTAGACCTATGTTCCATTTTTTGTTAAAGACTTAAAGTTATGTTAAAGGTCAGGGTCATGTTCAAAGTTATGGTTAAAGGTGCACTGTGTATCTTTTTTGGTGGAGGGTCCATCAAATAGTTGTTTCCATGGTTATTGCTTTGTCAAAAATGTTTCACAATTTACAGTATGGTATTAAAGGGATAGTTTGGGTTTTTTGACATGAATCTGTATGGAATCTGTATGCATCCACACTGACTTACCCCCGACAGCATCCGGTGAACCGAGATCCTGGCCGGTTTTGGTGCTGACGAAAGTAGTCTGGCAAGTTGGCTGGGGTCACGAAAATAACCAGTTTTTTCTTCTCAAAACAATATGTGTTCAAAAGAGTGATAAATTTGCATCACAAAACCTTTGTCCACAAAAAAGTCAGACCGCATAATCTCTTGGCACTATTTTCTCTCCGTTCATATTACTGCACACTGCCGCGCTCTCTCTCTGCCCTTTCTAACTCCATCTGGCAAATTTCAGCATCAATATATTCGGGTTCACAAAGATATCCCTTTGGCTCTGTGCTAAAGGCAATGTCTTCATCATCGGTGTCATAATCAGACATGTTGTCGCTAACATTCCGAGCAGTAAACAAAGTGAAACAAGCGCGTCTGTCACCTGGCGGCAGCGCGCAGTGATATGAACGGAGAGAAAATAGTGTGAAGCGATTATGAG